AAAAAACCAGCAAGAGAAAAGCAGTTAATTACCCACAAAGGAACTTTCATAATACTTCCAGATGATTTCTCAACCGAAACTATGCGGAAAGGATTAGCACAAAATATTCAAAGTGATAAGCAGGGACCTACAACCAAGATTGCTTTCCCAGCAAAGCTATTATCTAGAATTGAAGGACAGATAAAGACCTTCCCCAGGCAAGAAAAAGCTAAAGGATTTCATTACCACCAAAACAGTATTACAAGAAATGTTAAGTCTTCTTGAATAGGAAGAAAAAAGATAAAAAAATATGAATAATAAAATGACAATAAATACATATTTATCAATAATTACTTTAAATGCAAATGTTTTGTGTTCCAATCAAAGATGTAGGGTGGTTGAATGGATAAGAACACCCTACATATACTTCTACAAGAGAACTTCAGATCAAAAGACACACAAAATGAAAAGTAAAGGGATAGAAAAAGATATGAAAATGGTAGACTTCCAGCCAAGATGGAGGAGCACATAGACACACTGTGCCTCCTCACACAACCAAAATAAAAACAACAAAAATTCAGAAACATAAAAACAACCAGTAGTGACAGAAAATTGAACTGTATGGAAGCCTGACAACCAAGGAGTTAAAATAGACACATTCATCCAGACCCATGGGAGGGGCAAAGTCAGGTGGCAGGGCAGAAGAAGAGGAGAGTGAGCAAGAGATCAAAAACTTATTTGAAGAAATAATGACTGAAAACTTCCAAAACCTGTGAAGGAAAAACACATGCAAGTCCAGGAAGCTCAGAGAGTCCTAAATATGTTGGACCCAAAGTGGCCTACACTGAAGCACATCATGTCTAAAATGACAAGACTTTAAAGACAAGGAGAGAATCCTAAAGGCTGCAAGAGAAAAGCAGATAGTTACATACAAGGGAGCACCAATTAGGCTGTCATTTGATTTCTTAACAGAAACATTTCAGGCAAGAAGGAAGTGGTGTGAAATATTCAAGGTGGTGAAAAGCAAGGACCTACAACCAAGTCTACTTTACCCAGCAAGGCTATCAATTAAAATCAAGGAGTAATAAGAAGCTTCCCAGACAAGAAAAATCTAAAGGAGCTTCTTAACACCAGTACTTCAACAAATGTTAAAGGCCTTGCTTTAAGAAGAAAAAGAACAAGAGTCACAAAAACAGAAGGAGATAGTCTGACCTTAAAATAGCACTAAATATGTATCTATCAATAATCAACTTAAATGTAAATGGTTTTATTGCTCCAACCAAAAGACATAGAACAGCTAAAAAAATATAAGAAAAATATCCATATATATGCTGCCTATAACAGACCCAAGAGATTAAAAGATACACACATATTAAAAGTAAAGGGATGGAAAAATATATATTATTCAAATAGAAAGGAAAAAAAGGATGGAGTAGGAGTACCTACATCTCCTACTCCAAGGAAAAAATAGACTTTAAAAATAAGGCTACAGAAAGAGACAAATAAGGACACTATGTAGTGATTAAAGGAAAAATCCAAGAAGAGGATATAACACAGCACACTTTTACACACCCAACATAGGAGCACTAAATATGTAAAGCAATTTTTTGTTGCCATAAATGGAGAGATCAACAGAAATGTAGTCATACTAGCAGATATTAACACCCCATTGACTTCAATAAATAGATCTTCCAGGCAGAAAATAAACAAGGAGACTGTGGCCTTAATTTATTTGATATTTACTTGAATTTACTCTTCAGAGCATCTCACCTCAAAGTGGCAGAATATACATGCTTTTCAAATGTACATGGAACATCTCCAAGGACATACCACATGTTAAAACATAAAACAAGTCTCAATAAATTTAATGACTGAAATCATATCAAGCATCTTCTCTGACGACAATGCTATGAAACTAGAAATCAATCACATGAAGAATACTAAAAAATTCTCAAAGACACGGAAGTTAAATCTCATGTTTTTAAACAATGAGTGGGTCAACAATAAGATCAAGGGAAAAAATCAAAAGCTACCTTCAAACAGATCAAAATGAGTACACAACAATGGATTGAGTACACAACAATCCAAAATCCTTGGGGCACTGGGAAAGCAATCCTAAGAGGGAAATTAATAGCATTATAGGCTTATCTCAAAAAAGAAGAAAAGGGTCAAGTAAACAATCTAAATTTACACTTAAAGGAACTTAAAAAAGAACAACAAACAAAACCCAAACTGAGTAGAAGAAAGGAAATAATAAATACCAGAGCAGAAATAAATGAAATAGAATCTAAAAAATGATACAAAATACCTATGAATCCAGGAGCTGGCTCTTTGAAAACATCAACAAGATTGACAACCCTTTGAAAAGACACACCAAAAAAAAAAAGAGAGAGAGAGAGAAAAAGGACCTAAATAAATAAAATCAGAAATGAAAGCAGACAAAGAACAACTGAAAGAAATAAATACAAAGGATTGTAAGAAAATATTAGGAACAACTATATACCAACAAACTGGACAGCAGGGACAAAATGAATAAATTCCTGGAAACATACAATCTTCCAAAACTAAATCAGGAAGCATCACAAAATATTAATAGACAGATTATACTTAATAAAATTGAAGCATAATAAAAAAAACTACTAACAAACAAAAGCCCTGGATCAGATGGTTTCACAGGTGAATTTTATCAAAACTTCCAAGAAATAACACCTCTCCTTCTGAAACTATTTCATAAAATTCAAGAGGAGGGAAGGCTCCCAAACTCATTTTATAAGGCCAATATTATTCTTTTTCCTACACCAGATAGAGACACTACAAAGAAAATTATAAACCAATATCCCCAATGAACATAGATGCTAAAATACTCAACAAAATATTAGCAAACCAATACAGCAATACATCAAAAAGATCATACACCATGACTAAGTGGGATTTATTCCAGGAATGCAAAGTTGGCACAACATTTGCAAATCAATAAATGTGACTTACCACACAAACAAAATGAAGGATAAAAATGACGTGATAATATCAATAGACACAGAAAAAGCATTTGATAAAATCTTGTACCCATTTGTGATTAAAAGAATCTCAGCATACTGGGATTACAGGAAACATACCTGAACATAGTAAAAAACCATACATGACAAACCCACTGCCAGCATCATACTCAATGGGGAAAAACTACAAGCACTCTCCTTAAGGTTGGGAACAATACAGGGATGTCTGTTTTCACCTCTTTATTCAGCATAGTGGTGGAAGTTGTAGTTACAGCAATCAGACAAAAAATAAATAAAAGGCACCCAGTTTGGAAAAGATGAAATAAAACTATCTTTATTTGCAGATTATATGATAATGTACAACAGAACCCCAAAGATTACACCAAGAAACTACTAGAACTGATAAATGAACTCAGCAAAGTAGCAGGACACAAAATAAACATCCATATGTCAGTTGCATTTTTATATGCCAATAATGAACTAACAGAAATTAAGAAAACAAAACAATCCCATTCACAATTACTACGAAAAGAATAAAATACCTAGTAATAAACCTAACCAAGGATGTAAAAGACCTGTACTTGGAAAATTATAAGACAAAGAAGAAATAGAAGAAGATATAAATAAGTGGAAGCACATATCATGCTCATGGATTGGAAGATTAAAATCATTAAAATGCCCATGATACCCAAAGCAATCTATAGATTCAATGAAATTCCTATCAAGATTGTAATGATGTGGACTTCCACCAAGATGGAGGTGTAGGTAGAAACACTGTACCTTCTCGCACAACCAAGTTTAAAGACAACAAAGTTTTAGTAACAAAAATGCAGCCAAAACACAGAAAATTGAACTATATAGAAGTCCAACAACAAGGAACCATTCAGCCTGATCTGTAAGAGGGGCAGAGCCAGCAGTGGAGCAGGCTTGGGCAAGAAAGATCTCCTAACCCAGGTGCACAGGCAGCCGTGGACGGATCCCAGGTGTGGGATACCAACCGGTGGATTCAGTGAGGGAGCAAGGTGGCAGGCTGACCACAGTCACACATTCATGCGCAGGTAAATCAGGCAAAGGAGCGATAAGTGAGACAGTCCCCACAGGCCCCAGCGGTGGGAAGCACCACAGGGGACCGCCATTGACCCTCTTTGGCCCTGCCCCCACATACAGCATCAAAATCCAGGGACCTGGGTGGCCCTACACTGGTGAACACCTAAGGCTCTGCTCCTCATATGTAACAGGTGCAAACAGACCAAAACATGGCTCAAGAAGAACTCAAAGACCCAGAGACAATAACTGTAAGTGACCAAGAACTAGCCAACCTATCAGATGCACACTTCAAAACACTGGTGATCAGGATGCTCACAGAACTGGTTGATTTTAGTCACAAATTACAGGAACAAATGAAGGCTAAACTAAGTAAAATGAAGGGAAATGCACAGGAAACCAATAGTGATGGAAAGGAAACTGGGACTCAAATCAAGGGAGTGGACAAGAAGGAAGAAAAAAATGACCAAACAGAAAAGAATGAAGAAACAAGAATTCAAAAAATGAGGAAAAGCTAAGGAACCTCCAGGATATCTTTAAACATTCCAACATCCGAGCTACAGGGGTACTAGAAGGGGAAGGGGAAGAGTGAGAAGTGGAAAATTTATTTGAAAAAATAATAAAGGAGGACTTCCCCAATTTGGCAAAGGAAATAGACTTCTAAGAAGTCCAGGAAACTCACAGCATCCCAAAGAGGTTTCACCCAAGAAGAAACACACCAAGGCACATCATAATTATATTAGCCAAGATTAAAATGAAGGAGAGAATCCTAGAAGCAGCAAGAGATAAGGGGACAGTCACCTACAGAGGAGTTCCCATCAGACTGTCAGTGGATTTCACAAAAGAGACCTTACAGGCAAGAAGGGGCTGGAAAGAGGTATTCCAAGTCATGAAATGCAAGGACCTACATCCAAGATTTCTCTATCCAGCAAAGCTTCCCTTTAGAATGGAGGGACAGATAAAGTGCTTCTCAGATAAGAT